TGGTTCACTCCCCAAACGGCCACAATGGCTGGGGCTGGGCCAGGCTGAAGCCAGGAGCCTGGAGCTCCATCCTGGGCTCCCACAGGGGTGCAGGGACCCAAGTACCTGGGCTGCCTTCTGCGGCGATCCCAGGCTGTCAGCAGGGAGTTGGAGGGGACGCGGAGAAGCCGGGACTGGAATTGGCAGTGCAGATGGCGCTGGGCCACCACGCGGCCCCGAGTGTCCACGCCGGCACTGACAGGACAGAGCCAGCCCTGCCCATCCCCCCAGCTCTCAGCCACAGGGCCCAGAGAAGGATCAACCGCACGGTCTGCCCCAGACACGAACTCACTCGGATCCGCCCCCCCCCCTCGTGTCAAAATCCCAGAGCCAGACTCGGCTCCACGACGTAAACGGCCCTGTCCACCTCATGCAGCCGGGCTTGAAGCTGGAGCTGGATATGCAAATGTCCCAGGGCAACAGGCCCAGGAAGACAGCTCCCCTCAACGTCTGGGGAGCGCGGCCAGCGGTGTGTGGCCAGTGGTGCTGCCTGCGCCGGGCCTCGCTGCCCAGCGCTGAGCCGGCCAAACGGCGCCTGCTCCGTCCTCGCAAGCTACAGGCCAGGAGGCAGGCAAAGCCAAAGCCAGCGGAGACTGGCCAGGCCCTCAGCTCAGCAGAGCATCTCTGCTCGGGCCCCACGGGGAGGGGACAGGCCTCCCAGTCTCTGTGCCCCGCCTGCAGTGGGACGGCTTCACCCCCGCAGGGCGGCCCTGGGGAGGGCTGGGGCACAGTGTGTCAGCCGTGGCGATGGAGCGGGGCCAGTGGGCAGCAGGGAGGCACCTGCGCCTGCTCGTCAGCCCCGCTGCCAGCTCACCTAGGCCTGCAAGTCTGCAGCACGACACCTGCAGGGGGCGACGCAGATGCGGCCCACAGGTGCCCACAGCTCCGCGCTCAGGTGTGCGGAGAAATGAAACACACCTGCCCACACACGTGCTCGACTCACACATGCTCATACGTGTGCTCACACACTGCTCACACACACATGTATTCAGACATGTGTTCACACAGGCACTCACACAGGTGCTCTCAGGTGCCCACAGCTTCGTTCGTCTCTGTAGATGACAAACGCCGTGTACCTGCAGGGGTGAGTGGCGTGGCCTGTGAGCTGTGTTTAAAGGCTCGCTCCTGCCCCCCACATGGTCTCAAAGGCCCCCAGACCCCTGCTCCCCTCCCACCAATGCTCACCCCAATCCCTGCTGCACATGCCTCACAGACGCCGCTGGAGAAAACCAGGGTGGGGCTGACCCAGCAGACGCGGGCCAGGCCGTGCGGTGCCCGATGGGGGACAGGTATCCCCCCACTGCCCACCTGAGGGGCTTCCACCACAAGGCTGGCCCCTCCTGCTCCCACCAAGGCCTGGGGTCTCCAGGATGGCAAGGGCCACACACCTGCCAGGTGGCCGTGTGGGGACAGTCCCCTTCCACCGGGCTGCCTGGGACCCCTGTCCGGACGCCTCTGCAGCCAGGGAGGGCCCTCCCCGGAGTAGCCCTAACCCCCCGGAGGGCCCTCCCCGGAGTAGCCCTAACCCCCTCACCCACCCAACCCTGCCCTCACCTGGACCTGACCCCACCATCACCCACCTGACCCCGCCCTCACCCACCTGACCCTGCCCTCACCCCCATCCTCACACACACACACACACACGCGTGCGGTCTCCACCCCTCTCTGCTCCTGGTCCCCTCAGGCCTCCCCCTTCCCTGCCCACCTCCGCACGCTGCAGCCCCTCTAGTCCTCTCTGCTGTGGCCCCTGGCCTCGGCCTGCCATGGGGCTCCTGGCCCCACCCCCATGCTCCAGGCCACTGCCCTCCCTCCCTGGAGTCCACAGAGCCCCAGATCCCGCTGGAGAGGCCCAGGGCAGGGCTGGGCTAAAAATAGACGGCAGGGCAGCAGCGCTGGTGGCAGCGCCTCCGCAGGGCCCTGGAGCAGACCCTGCCTCCCACCCGAGACCCTGGGCAAGGAGGAAAAGGAAGCCAGGCTTGGGCGGGGGCCAGCCGTGGCGCCTTCCTTCCGGCTGGGAAGAGATCTGATCTGGAAGCTTCTTCAGCTTGCTGGGCACAGCGAGCAGATGGCCACTCCTCTCAGGCCAGGGACAGGCGCCCCAACCCAACCAGCCCCCTCTCCCCTGCTCCCTCCCAGGGCAGGTGGGGGAGGGGAGCCCCCTGGACAGCACAGGAGCCACAGGAAGGGCGGGCTGGGCGGCAGGAGGCCAGATCTGCAGAGCCAGCACCTGCTGACCCCTGGAAGCGCCGCGCGGAAGGCCCCGGGGGCTGGGGCCCTGCAGATCCTTCACTTGCCTTTCTAATTTATGGCCGTGGACAGGGCTACAAATGAACGGTAAACAGCTCCCGTGCGGCGGGTCTGGGCACCCAGAGTGTGGGGCACCAGGTCCGGCGCTCGGCCGCAGGTGCTCTGGCCCGAGTGAGCACCAGCCCTTGCCCCACAGCCCCCAGTCCACTGCACCCCTTCCTGGGCGCCCTGGTGGGGCACGGAGGCTCCTGGGGACAAGCAAGTCCTGGGCCCAAAGCTCGGGTCCAGCACCCGGCCCTCCCTGTCCAGCCTTCCAAGGCCCAGTCACGCTGCCCCGGCAGAGACAGGGCCCTCGGCTGCACATCACCCATGCCACCTCAGAGGTCCAGCCCTGGTGGAGAGAGGGGAGGCTGGGGACAGGAGCTCACGCCAGTGCCTGGGCAGCCGGTCGCAGCTGTTTCCCTGAAGGCTCTGGGGGCCGGGCCAGAGCCTCCCCTGCCCTGGTCCCTGCCCCACCCCGTGGCTCCCTGGAAGGCTGAAGGCTGGAGCCCCTCCCCCAGAGACCGCAGAGCAGACAGCTCCGGGAGGCCTAGCCCAGCTCTGTCCCCCTGTGGGTGAACTCTCGCCAGGCAGGAGCCACAGGAGGCTGGGCCTGGAGCAGGGAAGGCCCCAGGACCCGCTCCCTCCAGCCCCGCCCTGCCCCGGACTCACGCCCCCAACCACTGCCCTGGGCGCTCCCTCCCCCAGCCTGTGGGCAGCGAGCAGAGCAGGAGCCCCTCTGTGCGGCCCCCCTTGTGACTAGATGGGGTGGTGACTGATAGCAGGGTGTGCCCCGGAGCCCGCCCACGCGAAGTCGAAGCAAGGCACTGAGCCCGGGAGCTCGTGGGCAGGGCGTGAGGGTGCACACAGGGCTGGCCACTGCTGTCCAGGCTGAGGCGCTGCCGGCCGGCACACGGGGGTACGGGCCCACCCGCTTCCTGGAGCCACTGTGCCGAGGCCGCTTTGGGGGCTGGGTGGGTGCCCCAGGTCCTGGTGCCCTGGTGCCCTGGTGCCCCACCTCCCTCTTCTGGGTGTGGCCTGAGCTGGGAAACCAAACTGACAAAGAAATGGCAGGGGTTTTCTGCCCTGGAAACAGAAGGCCCCGGGCACACGGCCCCTCCACTTCCAGCAGAACGGCCGGAGCGGGAGGCCTAGCCCAGCTCTGTCCCCCTGTGGGTGAACTCTCACCAGGCAGGAGCCACAGCAGGCTGGGCCTGGAGCAGGGAAGGCCCCAGGACCTGCTCCCTCCAGCCCCGCCCTGCCCTGGCTGCCGCGCTGACCCACGGGAGCCTGTGGGGCCCAGGCTGGGTGGCCAACAGCAGAAGCGCCTGGGCCGGGCACGCTCAGGGCTCCTGAGGTGCGGAGGCGCCTGGGCGAGGCCACTGTGGCCCAGCCTGCGGCACCTCCGCCTTGGCCCCTGCTGCACACACACCAGCTGTAGCTCCTCACGGCTGGGCTCCAAGACGGACAGCGCCTGGGCTGCCACCGAGGGGGGACTGGGTGCCTGGTGGGCCTGGTCGCCCAGGCCTGGGGAGCCAGGGGACCAGGCGAGGGCAGGCACCTGCTCTCGCTCCTGCCACGTCCCTCTCTCTGCTCCTCCCCCCACGCCTGAGGATCCCCGAGTGCTCCCAGGAGCCCGTCCTGCTGCCCCAAGGCACAACCATACCCGGCCCCCGGAGCCACAGGGCGGCAGGGAGACCCCCGGCCACGGCCTTCTGAGCCCAGCTTCTCTGTCTCTGCCGCCTGACCGCCAGCCCCACGCACACACACGGTCCCTGCCCAGAACCCAGAATATTCCAGTAAAGTCAGGAACGAGCAAAGCCACGGCCACCCCCAGGGTCACTGCCAGGGTTCTGTGGGAGACAGGAGGGCTCAGCCGTGGGAGGGAGGGAGAGGCCGGCCCCTTCCCAGGAAACCAGCAGGGCGGCCCCTCTGCAGTCGGCAACCTGAGCAACCCCCAGCGCAGCAGCAGCAGCAGGGGGCCCGGCCCTGTGCCCTCCCATTCACCCACGGGCCCCGGTGGTGACAGCAGGTGCCCGGCCCTGTGCCCTCCCATTCACCCACGGGCCCCGGTGGTGACAGCAGGTGCCCGGCCCTGTGCCCTCCCATTCACCCACGGGCCCCGGTGGTGACAGCAGGTGCCCGGCCCTGTGCCCTCCCATTCACCCACGGGCCCCGGGTGGTGACAGCAGGTGCCCGGCCCTGTGCCCTCCACGTCACCCACGGGCCCCAAGTGGTGACTGAGGGTACCCGGCCCTGTGCCCTCCACGTCACCCACGGGCCCCGAGTGGTGACTGAGGGTACCCGGCCCTGTGCCCTCCACGTCACCCACGGGCCCCGAATGGTGACAGCAGGTGCCCGGCCCTGTGCCCTCCATGTCACCCACGGGCCCCGAGTGGTGACTGAGGGTACCCGGCCCTGTGCCCTCCACGTCACCCATGGGCCCCAGGTGGTGACAGCAGGGTGCCTGGCCCTGTCCCTCCCATGTCACTCATGGGCCCTGGGCAGTGACAGGAGTGCCCAGCCCTGTGCTCCTTCCCTGTCACCCATGGGCCCCGGGTGGTGACAGCAGGGTGCCTGGCCCTGTGCCCTCCCATGTCACCCACAGGCCCTGGGCTCCGCCTCCATGCAACTGCCTTTTATGCTTCACACTGGAGCAAAGAAAGAGCCGAAGATTAATTTCCTTTTTCTCTTTTCTTTTTGGTCTTTCAAGTGATGAAGGGGGAAGGTGGTGCTGTCAGAAAGCCCGCGTCACCCCCTGCACGTACTGGTCACCTGTAGCAGCGTCTCGGGGACAGGGTGGCCTTGAAGGCGGGGACCGGGGGCCGTGCTCGGAGATGGGTGTGGCGGGTAGCGGGGAGGGCCCCACAGGCACAGCTGGGTTTTCTGCAGCCTGTGGGGCGGCCTGAGCTGAGCAGCTGTGCCGGCTGTGCCCGGGGGACGCTCCGTGCTGGACGAGCTGGGCCCGCGGAGCAGCTTCCCCAAGCAGGACAGCAACAGCCCGAGTCAGAGGACAGCCGTGTGCATGCCCTGGGCGTGGCCCCACCTGGGCCACACCCATCCTCGGGCCTCACGCCAGGCCAGGAGGGTTTGGGGTCCTCGCACAGGGCTCCGGGAGAACAGCGGCACCTCTCATCGTCGGTGACCTGCGGACAGAGAGGCAGAGGTTACCACGGGGTCGAGCGTGGTGCACCCAGCGCCGAGGACCACAGCACCCGGCATCCTCTGAGCCGCTTCCTCGGGGCGGGGATGGCGGGGAGCCCCTTAACTGCCCCTTCCCCCGGGAAGAGGGTCTCAGTGGCTGCCACCGCCAACACCCAGCAGTAGCCAGGACCTAGACGTGGTGCAGAGGAGCTGGTGGACGGGGCCTCGTGAGCCACTGCCACCCCTCTGGGCAACTGAGCCTGGGCCCACCCTCTCCAGGACACATAGCCCTGGCCCAGGAGGTAGAGTGGACCTGAGAACAGAGGTGGGGGCGGCCAGTGAGCACAGTCCCCAGGATGCGGGCAGAGCACACGGTGGGAGGGGACACTTCAGCCCTGTTCCCAGCCACTCTGTGTGGGGGCTCTGCCCGCACGGCCACGGTAGCAGCAGGGCCTGCGGGCACGGGGCGGGGGCTTCGTGCCGAGGGCCGCTGTGAGCAGGCATCGAGGCTGCAAAGTCGCACTGACCGCATAGAAAGCACGCCCGAACCCGGCAGGGAACACAGGGCTGGGTGGGAACTCAGGGTCAGTCTGCAGTCACCGCCACTGCCACGAAGGCCAGCTGAGGTGTGTGGAGAGGAAGCACCCGCAGCAAGGACAGAGACACCGATCAAACCAGGTCACGACGGGCTGGGCCGGGACACCTCAGCTGTCCCCAAGGATGGCCTCTTCCCCCTGCCCCCACGGAACCCTGCACACGCAGCTCCTGGCAGACACGGGGGCCGTCGGGTCTGGGTTGCCTGACGTCAGCCCAGCGGCCGCTCAGGGGCCTCCCGCAGATGGCGGCTGTGTGAGGGTGTGGGCTCGCACCCTGAGGAGCAGCCCTCTGCAGAGGACAGCCTGGCCCAGGCCTTCAACCTGAGGCCAGGCTGGTGACCGGACGGCCAGGCAGGGGTAGGCACGGGTGGTGCTGCCTGTCGGGCTCCTCGGGGGCCCGGAGCAGACCCTGGGCAGGACAAGTGGGGAAGGTCAGTGCCACTTCCTCCAGCGTCCACCGCCCTAGGTGCTGCTTGGTTCGAGAGCCCTGGCAGAGGTGGGCGGGGCGCCGGTGCCTGCTTGTCCACACGAGCCAGGTCTCCTGCCCAGAAAGGCCCACAGACCACGGCTACAGGCGGACGCACTCAGGCTTAGGACCCTCACTTGGTGACCACCAGCCTTGGGTTTCTCAGAGCCAGGAGCTGGGACCTAGGGACACAGGAAGTCCTCCCACCCCACCTCCCAACCTGGAGCAGCATGCACTCGGCCATCTCCCAAGGGACCCACACTGCGGACGCAGGGGCCAAGGGGCCGGCCCTTGCCCCGCACAGCAGAGCAGACATCACAAGGGGACACAGAGGGGACCACCGACCCTGGAGCGCTGGCGGCCCAGCCCTCAGAGGCAGCAGTGAGGATGACGGGCGGGTCCCTCAGGACACCGCATCTGGGGCCTGCAGGGGCTGCCCCCCCCTCCACTGCTCAGGAGCCCGCGGCTGGGTGGCCGCAGGGTTTCCTGGGACACAGCTCACTATCTGCATAGAAAAAACTCCAATAGCAGAAAACTCTCAGCCTTGGTCTCAAATCCCAGGCTGAGAGCCTGCGCCAGGGACGCTATCCCAGACGATGTAGGCTCCTTCCCTCTGCAGGGTCAGGGCGGGGTGGACACATCGGTACTGCCTGGGGCACTCCCTCCATGCCCCCAGTGCAGGCAAGGTTCGGACACAGAGCTGGTAGGGTCTAAAGCTGTCCAGGTGCCCACAGTGCACAGGAGGGGCACGAGACTGGGGTGTCCAGCTCCACAGGTGCAAGGGCAGGGATGTCCAGTCCTGGGGGGGCCCAGGGAAAGCTGGAGACAAGGCCACAGCCGCGCTGGACCCAGGGGGCGGCGCTGGACCCAGGGGAGCCGCACTGTCAGGAGGGCCAAGCCCGGCCCAGCCTGAGAACAGGACCCCACAAGGCTGGTAGGAGGGTCCACCCAGTGTCGCCCTGGACAGTGCCTGGGCACCAGGGGAGGTGCCTGGAGTGGCCAGGATCCTCTGCTGCTCACGGACCGCTCATCTGCCTCAGCCCACACCTGACCCCACTGCCCACAGATGGCCGGGGCTGCGGATGCCTGGGCAGGTGAGGGCCGAGGCCTGGAGCTGCCCACGCACCCCACGCACCCCGCACACTGCTTTCTGTCCCTCTCCGTGCCCGGTGGGGGTCCCAGCCCCACACACCCGAGAAAGTGCCCTCGCAGAGCTCGGCCCAGCCCCACGGCCAGTGACGAGCAAGACTGCAGATCCCGTGGCGGTGCCGACCGACCTGGACCGAGCTCCCCGGGGTTGAGGGCGTGACCGGCGGTGCCCTCCCCGAGTGCACCTGATCTGTGGGGGCTGTGGGGGCTCCTGGAGCAGAAGCTGTGGCTGGGAACTGCCTGTCCTCAGCCTGGGCCCCTCCAGGCCCCTGCAGCTGGGGATGGGTGTGGGCGGGCCTGCGGCAGCCCGGCCATTCCTCCTGGCTCCTCAGCCAGCAGGACCTGAGGCTCCCCTGGCCCCTGTGCAATGACACCCAGGGCCGTGCACCCCATAGACAGCAGGGCAGCCCGGACCCACAGGGGGGGAGATGCAGTGGGATGGGAGCTCAGGCCTGGCCCCCTGCTGGTGCCCAGGACAAAGGTGCATGGGCCGGGGGCTTCCACCTACGGCCGCCCACGCCCAGCTCCCGAGACCCCTACATGTGTGTGCGTGTCCAAATTTCCCTCCTCTTACAGGGGCCCCGCTCGGCAGCTCGGATCCGCCTGTAAGGATCCGGTTTTCCAGGCACCATCGTGTCCACTGCGCATGGCGCGAGGACTCACGCGTAAGTTCTCGGGGGATAGTTCAGGCCACAACTACCCCCAAGATGGGACAAGGGCAGGCTGCACAGGCGGACTTGTGCCCAAGGCCCAGGACAGCATCACAAGCCAGCGCCTGACAGGTGACGCGTGCACACGCGTGTGCCAACGTGTCGGCGTGCTCGTGTGTGCAGGAGTGTCCCTGTGCACTGTGAGCATCAGTTCATGGTCAGGACTCCACAGAACGGAGGACTTTGCTCCCGGGTCCCGAAAGGTGTGCAAGGGTCGGAGGCAGCACTAAGCCCGCCATCCACTCTGACGTCCCACAGCGGCTGGGCCTATCTCTGGACCGGAGCCAGGGCCCCAGCACACGGCATCCACGCAGCCCCTCAGGGCACACGCACCTACAATCCCCATGGAGGCAGACAGGGCCCCAGCAGACACCCTGCTTGGCCTGGCCCACCTGCCTCTGCTGGGGCAGACGGAGCAGACCTGGGGTGGCAGGGAGCCTCTCTGCGCCCTGGTGCCTGCAGAGGGTCCCCTCCAACTGTCTGATAGACCCTCGGGGCTGCCAGCAAGGCCTGGCCGCACGCTCGGTGCCTGCCACACCAGGAGCCGCCCTTTCCAGCCCAGCATTTGGGATCAGACACCCACCCTGCACGCAGACCTGGCCGAGGGGGACACCGGCCAAGCCCCTGGGGCTGCTTGCAGCCCAGCTTTAGAGGTATCGCTGGGCTCCTGTCAGCCCCCACATGCTGTGGGAAACGCCCCCTGCCCCCGCAATGGGGCCTCCCAAGATGCCCTGTTCCCCCCGTCCACAGCCTTGGGGCGCCGTGGGGCCCTCCCCACCTGGCAGCCCCGGGGACCCCGCCTGGAGCGGGGTCAACCCTCAGACCTGCACACCACTGCCCCTGTGGGACCACACCTTCTCAGCAGAGAGCTGGCAGCTCACACCCTCCAAGGGCAGCTCTTCCTGAAGACTGGAGCCGCCCAGAGCCCGTGGAGGGTGTCGGGTGCAGCCACAGCGCACGGTGCGGAGGGCTGAGCTGTCCCCGAGCTACCCGGCCCCTCAGCCAGACGTGGACCCAGGGAGGGAAGGGCAGGCGGCCCAGTGGCAGTGTCCAGAGACTCAGAAAACAACCGGACCCCCCAAAGCCAGGAATCTCTAAATGGGGAAACAGGAGACAAAGGAACCCAGGCTCTGGGCGCAGAGAGAAGAGCTTGGGGGAGCCCTGGGCCAGCTCTGCAGGGAACAAGGAACCAGTCCTGAGCTGCCACATTGTATCACATCGCAGCAGGGAGCACAGCAGGTGTATGCGCTTAACCTCCACACCCTCAAAATCAGCAATTATGTTCACATCATTAAGAGCCAAAAGAAAAAGTAACAACTCGAAACAGCAGCAAACCCATGAGTCATGAGCACCAGCAGGGCCCCGTAGGCAGCAGCTGTGCCCGGGCAGGGCCCCCGGTGGCCATCGCAGGGCTCAGGCCAAGGGCCGGCCGCGTTAGCATGCCGGGGTAGAGGGCGTTTGTCCCAGGGCAGAGCCGCTTCCTTTGTGGCACGCGTCCCTCGTGCTCTCTGCAGACCCCAAGCGCGTGCATCTGCAGGGGGCACGCCCTCAGAGTGGCGCTCAGGGGAGCCCAGCAGACACCCCTACCCCAGCTCTCGCCGTTGGCCTGGGTCTGTGAGCGACGCTTCCTTCTGGAAGAACCCCAGCGAGGGGGTGAAGGAAGCCGGTCAGCAGGCCGGCCCCAGTGAGTCTGCCCCGGTGGAGGGCAGAACCCGGCGTAGAAGCTCGGGACCTCGACAGGGTACAGCCTGGACCCTGGCCTGCCTGGCGTCACCAGGACAGGGTGGCCGCCCAAAGGCCTGTGGGGGAGCTGTGGACGGGGGTCCCACCCGAGGGCTCTGGGCCGGGGACTCCCGCGGGGTGGGAGACGGGGAACCCAGGATGACAGAGGCGGTCAGCAAAGCGTGTCTTAGGGAGGACGCGGACGGCTGGGGCACGGGCCCTCCATGAAGGGCGGCCACAGACCTGCCCCCTTGTCCTGCTCGGTGCTGAGCTGGGGCCCGCGCCCCGAGTCAGGCACAGAGCCCCAGGCCGTGGCTTCCACGGGACAAAACGAAGATGATGACGGCCTTCCCAGAGGCCAGACGCTGAGAGGCACGCACTGTCACTCGGAGCCGAAGACACAGAAGCGCCGGCTTGGGGCACGCAGCTCGGCAGCGCCACTCCGCAGGGATGCGATGGACACCCCGACACAGGTGAGCAGCTGGCGCCACAGGCACAGGAAGCGGGGAGGCGCCTGCAGGACGCGCCAGCGCCAGCGACGCTAAAGGTTTTCCGAGGAGCAGAGAGAAAGCCACCCCAGGAGGCTGGCAGCCTGGAGGGGCCCCGGTGCCCCCGGGACCCCCGGCTCCAACACAGCCCCTCCCCACCGTAGCAGATCTTCCTGGAACAAGGGCTCCTCCTTGGCTCACAAACCCAAGGCCCAGGGCGGGTGCAGCTTGCCCGCGGCTGACCCTGTGGCCCTGGCCCCAGCCTTGGGTCAGGCGGGGGGTGGGGGCCGGGCGTGGCCTCAGCATGGCCCCTGGGGAGTGTTCAGTGGGAGGATGACTCAGTTGTAACCCCAGAACCTTCCATGGTGATGTCTGCCCAAACATGTCTGGGCTGACCCTCAACGACCAGCGAGCCCCAAAGGCTATCGCAGGGCTTTGGCAGGGGAAGGGCCACCAAGGACCGGGGCGGCCACGGGGCCACACATCAAGGGATGCCCCGGCCACCAGAAGCCAGAGGGGCAGGCAGGATCCACCCAGAGCCCTGGCGGGGAGTATGGCCAGAGCACAGCCCTGCCAACACTCAGGTTCTGACCTTGACCCTGGAAACGAGGGAAGAATATCCTGTCTGACCCCGGATGGCCGTGTTTACTATGGAGCCACAGGAACCAGGCGAGGGGCTGCCATGGGGATGCTGACGGCACGGGCAAGCAGAGGTCCACTGGGAGCTGCAGTGCCAGGGGCCGGCTGAGTGCACCCCTGGGAAGGCCCCAACCAGTCAGCAGCCCAGCCGCTCACCACGGGAGGGAGGGAGGCAGCCAGGGCCCCCGACTCCACAGGAGGCCGGACCCTGCCAGCTCCTGTGGGTGGGGGGCTGTGAAGTTTCCCACAGGCCTGGGGGCTGGGACTCCAGAGCCACTCCAGCTGTCCTCCAGGGAGGTTCTGCCACTTCAGCGCCCATGGCAGCCAAGCCCGACACCCTGGCCACAGGGCTCTGCCCCAACGGGGGCCTCGAGGCTCCAGGACACGGGCAGGCCTGCGGTGCCACTCTGGCTGACCCCAGGCAGCCCCCGGCCACTCTAATCAGCCCTCACCCCTTTCTGTGGTGCTGGGGGGACAGGCAGGCAAGACACTGTCTCCCCGACATCAGTCCTGTGGCCTCCCCTCTGGTCCCTGGGGCTGGCTAGCTGACCCCTCCAGCCCCACCCTCCTCTGCCCCTGCCCCTTGTCAACGCCCACCTCCTACCTCCCACACTGCCGCTCCACTCCCTGCTGCAGAACAGCCTCCCCCACTGTCCTCATCCCAAATGCTCCACTCAGGCTGCCAGCCCCAGGTGCTCTGAGACCTGGGCTCCCAACCCCGAAGCTGCCTTCAGCCAAGTCCCAGTAGCCCCCACTGCCCAGGAGGCCTAGTGGGGCTGCCCAAGGCCCCTCCGGTTCCTCGCTGGTGGGGTAGGGATGGTTTATCTCCACACAAGCAGGACCTGGAGGTCACCGTGGTCCCTCTCCCTACCCCTGCAGCATGCCCTGCAGTGCTGACCCACGGCCATGCTGCCTCCCCCAGGAAGCCCTCCTGGGTCCCAGGCCTTGACAGGGTCACCCCTTCCTTCTCAGCCATGTGCTAAGTCACTGCCTGGGACTGTGAGTCACTGTAGTCGGCCCCCACCTCTGCCCCACCTCTGCCCCACCTCCGGCCCCACCCAGCCTGAGCGGGCGGAGGGAGGGGCCAGGACAGCAGAAGCCAGGACCTGGGGCTCCAACCAACCCTCCAGGGACAGTTGCTGTTCCGTTTCAGGCACAGCTGGCCAGGGTGCTGTGTGGGGGGTGGGGCCCCGCGTTGTGGGGAACCCTGGTCCACGTCTGGGACACAGCCTGGCCACTCTGCTGCTGCCGGCCCTGGCCTTCCAACCAACCATGGCCAGCCACGAGCAGAAAGCACCTAGCATAGGGACCTCCAGGAGCCCGGCCTCACGGCCCACAGCACCCATGCCCTGCCACGTGCCCCCTGCAGGGGCCCCTGTGGGATTGGGAGGGGCCCTGGCAAATCACCCTGCTAGGAGCCAGGGGTGAGGGTCACTCACAAGCCCCTAGGGTTTCCCATGTGTATGGCTCACAAACAACGCAGGTGGCATTGGCATGGCCATGACAGTGGAGGGCACTGGGGCCACAGCAGCTGTGAGCCGCGGTCAGGACCCACAGGGGAAGCACCCTGTCCACAGGGGTGGGCACTGCATCGCTGGCAGCTCACTGGTGCCTCTGGCCCCCGGGCCCAGCTTGTCACCTGCTGGTCCGCGGGATGTCCGCGTGGTGCTGCCTCTCAGCTGTGGCCGCATCACCCGGCAAGACCCTCCAGCGAGGGCCGTGGAGAGCGAGATACTTGCTTGTCGGCGCCCCTGAGGGCAGGGACACCTGGCTGACAAGAGCCGAGGGCAGCACAGGCACAGCCGCCACACAGCCACACTGCAGCTGCAGGGCCGGCCTGGGCCAGGCAGGGCAGCCAGACCCTGAGGACAACCCTGCTGGGCCCCATGCCGGCCCCCTCCTCCAAGGAGCAGCCCATGTGCCAGTGGCCACACCCTGCTCTGGGCAGCACTGCCCACCCGGCTTCTGCCGGCCCCCAGGTTCTCCTGCGAAGAGCAGGCCTTGCGACCACCCCCACCAGCAAAGCTGACCCCTCCAGGGAGCTGGACCCACACAGCACCAGGACCCCTCTCCCTGACCACAGCTGGCAGGTCAACCTCTTAAATCCTTAGGAAACAAAACCCAAAAGCAAACCGGGCAGCTACCATGCTGGGGCCTGCCGCCGGAAGGCTCTGGCACCCATACTTCGGGCTGTCTGTGTCAGGCTCGGCCCCACGGGCAAGCAGCAGCCTGTTGGGTGGCACAGCCCCTGCACGGGCAAACCCGTCCGGTGAGATTTTTCCTCTGCTTCCGGATTACACGGCCAGCCCGGAACATGCGAGGAAGCTTGCTCCCAGCTCGGGGCTCTCGAGCCTCCAGGGTCCAAGCGTCCACTTGGGCACACCCCAAGGCTCACGGCCCTGGAGACCCAGTGACCGGAAATGCAAGGTCACCGCACAAGGCCAGAGCCTGGGGCCTCTCTAAACCCCTCCCCATGGGGCAGCCTGGGCGGGAGAGGCCAGGCCAGGGCAGGAGACTCTCTGAACCCCTCCCCCTTGGAGCCTGCTGCCTGCCCCACGTCGGGTCCAGACGCTGGCACCTGTTCCCCACCCCCCCAACAGTGATGGAAATGACTGGGTCTGTGGCAAACAGTTTGCCCCTGGACTTGCAGCCTTGGTGCTCAGCTTGGGGCAGCCCCTCATCGCCACTTCCTCTCCCCTGGGACCCCCAATGCATGTGGCTCAGCCCCTCCCCAGCCAAGCATCAGCCGGAGCTGCCGAGCCCAAAGGCACGTGACCAGGAAACCCTGGTGCAGGCCACAAGGTCACTGAAGGTCACCATAACCAAGGCAGAGGCCCAGCTGGGGGTGGACAGCAGCAGAAGACAGAGCCCACCCCTCCAGCTCCCTCCCCGGGTGGCCAAACTGTCCCCTACCCCCCAAGGGAGGCTCTCGCCCCAGCTCCGCACAACCAGGAATGCCGAGGGCTCCCTGCAAACGGCAGGACGTGTGACACATCAGCTAGCACAGCCGAGTCCCTGCGGCCCCCGCAGGAGGAGCGCCGAGCACTGGGACCAGGGTGCAGCCGCAGGCCCGGTGAGCGACGGCCGGCAGCCCACACTCACCTGGCGCCGAGTTACGTCTCAAACTGCGTCAGGAGCTCCCGGATCTCGGGGGCCACATGCTGTGCGGCGTTCGCGGCCTCGGTGATGGCTTTCCGATACATCCCCTTCTTCTTCCGGTTAAAGCGCAGTTTGAAAAACTCCGAGAAGGGGGCCAGCTTGGAGATGGACAGGAATGACGTCGTCGGGGAGCCGAACCATGAGACTTTGGCTTCTCGCCAGAAGGGCTCCCCATCCTCCTTCCGGCCCAGGCTGAGGTCGAGCACGCGCGCCGGCCACCAGGGAAAACCATGGATCTTGCCCCACACGATGTCCCCCACAGCCACCGTCCTCCCGTCCTCAGTGACGCACTTGGACACGCTCTGCGTGTGCAGCCTGACCGTCAGCGGCGGCACCGTCTGGCCCGCAGCTCTGGAAGAGGAAGGCAGGGGGGCCCCGTCGCCCGACGACAGGTCTCCCGTATCTGCTGAAGTCACCTCTGAGCTGGACGACTTGGACTCGTCCAGGCTGTCGCTGCTGCAGACGGACTCGCTGGCGCAGTCCACGGTGCCCGGAGGGCAGCTGACCAGGAAGGCCAGGCCCCCTCGGCCCTGCTGGCCCCGGGGGCAGCCCTGGCAGTCTTCGTCCTCGCCCGAGCTTCCCGAAGACAGGCCCCCCAGCCCGTGGGCAGAGCCATCTGCAGAGAGAGTGGGCGAGCCGGCACGGGGGCCTCGCTGCTGGCTGTCCAGCGCCCCCACCAGCTCCGCCCGGTACAGGGGCCCACACTCGCCAGCTCCCCGGCGGGGCCGCAGGCGGATCTTGGGGGGTGGCAGGTCCGGGCCGGGTGGCCCTGGCCGCGTCAGCTTCAGTTTGGGCAGCTTGTCCTCGCCAGCACTGGGCTCGGCGTCCCGGGGGAGCTCGGTGTCGGGGCTGCTGTCCTGCGAGACCCACGGCGGGCAGAAGGGCTCCAGGGAGCCGTGCACCCGGGAGGGGATCTTGACCACTTCGCCCTTGCCCTGGGGTGTGCTGTAGGAGATCCTGATGACGGGGCTGCGTGGCACCTGCCCCCCCGGGGGCCTGGCCTCCTCCAGCCGCTCCCGCTTGCTCCTCCGTGGAGTGGCCGGGGCGCTGGGCTCACTGTCCCCTGGCCCCTCAGGCCTGCGCTGCTCCTGGTCGGGGCCGCTGCCCAGCCTCCGGCGGGCTCTGGGGGGTGCTGGAGGGCCGGGGCTGGCCTGCTCGGGGCTCAAGGTGCTCTTGCACTTCTCACAGAGGACTTGGCGCGGCCGCAGCCGGATTGTGCTGAGGATGAGCCGCCCAGGGTCTCGGTTGCGTGAGAGCCGCCGTCGAGTCCTCTTGATGCTGCGGGGAGGCGGCTGCGGCACCCACTGCTGGTAGGAGCTGCGCAGCCACAGCGGGTGGGGGAAGGGGGCCCCCTCGAAGTACGGCGGGTATGGGGGCAGGCTCCCGGCGGGCAGCGGCGGCACGAGGGGCGGAGGCGGCTCAGGGCCAGCGCTCTTGGGAGGAGGTGGGGAGCCCGCCCCCGGCGTCGCCGCCTGGCTGTGCCCCTCCTCGGGGGCCTGGTCATGGCAGCGGCTGGCAGGGGGCTCGTCGGTGGGAGGTGGCGGAGCCCATGGGGGCAGCCCGAAGAGGCCAGACCTGGAGGGAGAGACAGAAAGTGGCCGTGAGGACAGGGAGATGGCCCAGCCACCTCCACCCCCAGCACCCCCCAACTCTGTCCAGGGAGGCACCTCTGGACCTTAAGCAGGTGGACGCCCTGTGTGGAGACACACACTCAACAGTCACAGGACAGAGGGTCTCGGGGCCACCGGGTGGGCTTACAGCTGGACCCGACGGCAGGACCTGTGGCCTGGGCCCCAGGCCCCTGCTCACCTGTCCCTCCCCTCCTCTCTGAGGGTGGCACCCAGAGGGGTTGGGGAAGATCCCCTGGGGGCTGCCAGGCAAGCATCCCGATGCCCCAAGGGTGCCCCCAGAGGGTCCAGGGTCCCAGGTGTCTGTCTGGGGTGGGGGCTGCACAGGGCCCGGCCTGGATAGGACAGAGGAGGCCATGCTGCCAATCCACTCCAGGCAAGGACTCCCGGAGGCCCAGGGTCCCGTGGGAGGCCCTTGCTGCTCAGTTGCCACCTTGAGGCAGGGGTGGGTGGTGGGGATGGGGGCATCTCAGCCTCAGGGAAGACCCCAGAGGATGGAGGGAAGTGACCAGAGTCTGGCCAGCCTCCGGGCTGCTGCTGGACCGACCCCCACTCAGGGTGAGGACATAGCAGAGCAGGTCAAACTGGGAAGCAGCCTGGGCCTTGCATGAGCTGGCCGGAATGCCAGCCGCCCACCAGCCCCAGAGCCCAGGGACCGGAACCGCCAGTGGCCTGGCACGGCCACACTTCCTTCCTCCTCGGCCACACCCTCCACTCGCCTGGTGGGTAAACATGGGAACAGGTCACCCCCAGGCAGGGACCCAGCCTGGGTGCTGCCGGGACCAGCGGCAGTGGCCAGGCTGCTGGGGCTGTGCTGTTAGCTACGGCTCACAGAGACCATGGCCACGCCCCTCGCTCAGAGAGGCAGGCTAAGCGGCACCCCAAGTCCCGTGGGTACTGGTGAGGTGGGTGTGCTGCTTCCGGGAGTGGAGGTGGCAGCCCCCTGCTGCTGCCCAGGGCCCTGGGTCCCATGTGCGGCCCTTCAAAAACACGGAACACACATCTGCCACCCACGGCTACCCTCGAGGCCTGCTGTCCCCAGAGGCCTGGCAGAGCCCCAAGGTGCCGCCGTCAGCCTGGAGCCAGGGTGAGTCAGCCAGGGTACACCCTGCACCCAGACACTCACGGGGGCTCAGCCTAGGGGTTGCCAGGGCCTGGGACAAAGGCCCTTTGCCGTGGGGAGACAGAGGCAGGGACGTGCTGCCCAGGAGGCTCGGCAGGGGCCAGACACAGAAGCACCGCACCCACAGGAGGTCCCGCGGACAGCGGTGGCCACGCCCCACTCACCACGTCGCCAGGGTCTCACCTTGGGGCCCCGGCCTGGCCGCCCACCCTGAGCAGCCCAGGCCCGAGGCTGGCCCACGACCAGGAGGAGCCGGCCCTGTCTCCTCAGACACAACCGCCAGGGCTTCCCTTCCTCCCTCACCCTCTGCTGCCCGCCGGGAAGGAGGTGAGGAGGCACGGCTCCACAGGCTTTGAGCTGCTGGGAGCCGGCTGCCCACCCGGGGCTGGTGCAGGCAAAGGCACCGTCCCTCCCGCAGCCCTGTGGACAGCTGGCCACAGGGCGGCAGGTGCCACGCAGGAGGCATCCTGGGAACACCTGTGCCCTGGAGCCTGGGCCCAGGCCAGGGGAGAGCAGCAGCCTGGAGCTGGCAGCCCCTCCTCCAGGGCACCAGGGCACACGACAGCAGCTGGCCCACTCCTGTGGGCACTGACCCCAGGCCTCCCCAGAGATGGTCAGCTGGTGACTCCCTGAGCCTTCAGCGTGCCCCCCACAGCATGGGGCTGGCCTCACGCTGTGCCCCCTCCCCGGGCACCAAGTCCTTGGTGAAGCTCTCAAGCCCAGCAGTGCAGCCGGGGCCCTGTGACCGGCCTGTGCCTCGTGGGCCCCTCAGTCCCTCCAGGTCGCTACTGCTGCCTCTGGACCAGGTGCTTGTTCTCGGTCAGCGAGCTGGGGTCGGGTTAGGGAGGACAGCACCTTGACGCTTCCAGCAGGTAGGTACCTGGTCTGTGTGGCCTGGGTACCCCAGGCCATCAGCAGCTGGGAAGTCTCAGAAACACAAGTTTAGAGGCTGAGGCTGGAGGCCCTTGATCCAGTCCCCAGGACACCCCTGTGCAGGGCTACGCTGCCCGGGGCCTCCATCAGAGGTGCACCCTGAATCACTCCCAAAACGCAGCCCACCCCACGTTATCGTTTTGGGGCGTGGCCAGGCCGGCCACAAGGAGCCACAGCAGCAGGGGTGGGCCACACTCCTGAGGGTCACACTCTGGGCTCCAGGGCCCCGGACAGGTCTCTGGGAATCTGGATGCTGTGTGCAGGGCTGAAGGGGCACAGCCCACCATCCCAGGACCCTTCTGGCTTGGGTCATCGCCCCCCCTGGACCTCCACTCACTCACAGAGACCGGGTGCCCTGGGGTTCCTCTGGCCTCGGGAACAGGGAGGAGATGCAGGGTGCTCGCCATTCCGGACATCGGCCCCCGCATTGACAGCCAGGCCCCTTGTGCAGCCCCCGACCTGAGCTGGCCTGCACAGGCCTGAGCCTGTCACTTCCACCCCAGCAGCGGGAACTGCGCACTGCCCGTTAACAGCAGGGGGGAAGCTGGGCCACCAGGGACAGTCAGGGGATGCAGGTGCCGACAGCTGCCAGCACTGCCCGCATACGGGCTCCGCGGCCCTGTGGCCGGGTCGCACCCAGCACAACGGCACCCGCAGCCAGGGGCACGGGCGGGTGTCAAGCACCGAGGAGAAAGGTGGCATCCAGGGAGGGCAGTGCCCCTGGCTCCTGTGACAGCCTGGCCAGCGCCCGAGCTCCCGCCGCACCCTGCCCAGCAGCAGAGCTGTAGACGTCAGCGCCGTGACTGCTGACACAGTGGCTGAGACCTGCAGGCGGACCCCCAGGGAGCCACGCGCAGGGAAGACCCGCGCAGCCTGCACCACGCCTGGCGGAGCTGGAGCGGGGGGACAGGCGTAGTTCAGGGTCCCTGAGGGGCCCAGGGTCAGCCTGAGGCTGCAGAGCAGAGCTGTGTCCCTCAGGGGCCGGCTTCTGGTTGCCTGGTGGCCCTAGTTATGGCAGATTGTGGCCATGGCCGAAGGATGCCCACGGCCTGCACCTGCCAGGGATCCTGGCAGGCCTGCTCCTAGCCGGCACGGAGCGGAGGGGTGTGGCCCTGCACACCTGGCTGGCACCCACTGAAGGCCTCTGCAGACTCCCGGGCACCTCTGGCCACAGGCGGGAGCTGCCCTCCGCTGCCAGTGCCTGCAGTCAGGGAGCCGGAAAGACTTCTCCAGGGAGACCCCAGCCCAACCAGAGGAAGGAGGGGTCCCAGGAGGTGCCCCTGGCTGTCCCCAGCCACCGGGCACGGCCCGCAGCAGCCAGCACGGAGCAGGGCAAGTCATCGGGGAGGCCATATGTTAAATCACATGACCGTGCATAAATGGCTTCTGGCAGCGAGAAGCGCCGAGCAGAGGGTGTCACAGGGCGACTGCGGAGGACGCGCCCCCTACTTGCTGGGGCACCAGGGGGGAAGTTGGGCCTCGGAGCCAGCCCTCTCCTGCGCGCTCCTTAACCAAGGCCCGCAGGAGCGCTGAGCGCCCGCTCAGGGCCCAAGGGGCGACGCCGGCTGCCTGCCACGGGGGTCCCTGCGGGTGCGCAGGGGCGGCCCGCAGCCCGGGATCCCCCAGGTCAGGCTCCCGCAACTCGGGTCCTCCCGCCCCTCCGCGGGGCTCCCGGCGCACGGAGCTAGCATACCCGACCCTGGAACCCCGGGGGCTGTGGCCCCAGGCGGGCGACCCCGCGCGCGAGTGCGTGGCAGGGCAAGGCCGCCGCGCACCTGCCCGCGGGGGTCCTGCCGGCGGGCGGGCTCCGCCGCGCGTCCGAACAAAGAGCAGCGCGTCCAGGGTGCGGACGCGCGGAGTTGGGGTCCCGGCCCCGCGCCCCGCACCCACGCCGGGCCGGCGCCGCTCTCCCGCCCCGAAAAGTCGCGGCGACTTCGGGAGCCACTTGGGCCGCGCGCCCCGAGCCCCAGTCCGGCGGAAACCGAAAGCGGGCGCCGGGCGGCGCCGCCCCGCCCCGCCCCGCGCCGGTCCCGGGCACTGGCGGGCGGGGCGCCCCGGGGGCGCGGGGTCCCGGCCCGCGCCGCGCTCACTTTTTCGTGCAGTCCAGCAGGACCCCGGCGAAGCTGCGCTCGCCGCAGCTCACGGTGACGAGTAGCGCGCCGTTGACGACCTGCTCCACGCGCACGGGCAGCCGGCAGCCGGCCCGCGGCTCCATGTCCCGGCCCCGCCGCGGCCGGCGCGTGACGCCGCCCGCCGTGACGTCACGGAGCTCGCGGCCGGCGGCCGGGGGCGCGCGGACCCTGTCCCGCCGGGCGGCCGGGCACCCTGCTCGGCCCGCGCCCCGCGCAGGCTCGGCGGCCGCGGGCTCTGCGGGAGGAAGTCCCCGGGCGCGCGCAGGAAGCGACCAGGCGGGCGCGCGGGACGCGGCGCCGGGCGCCCCGCAGCGGCCCCGTCCCGCCCCGCCGCGTGGGGGCGCAGGGCAGCCTTTTGGGCCCGGAGCCTGCCGGCGGCCTGGGGGAACGCGCCTGGGGGAGGCACCGGGGGGCGCGGGGGTGGCGGAGTCCGCAGGCGCTGGTCACGAGCCCTCGATTTTTGGTGAAAGAACCGTCTCCCGCGGGCGGACGCGGACCCCGGACCGGGGATCCCCGTCTTTTCCCCGCCCTGCGCGGCCGCCCGGGGCGCTCCTGGCCGCTCGGCGCCGCCGCCCCCGGCCCCCGCCCTGGCGCCGCCAGGACAGTCGGGGCCGCCGCGGCGCCGCTCGTCCTCGCCCTCGGGCGGCCGCGCGGGGAGAGGCCAAGCCGGGCCGGGCGGAGCCTGGAGCGCCTGCAGTCCCGGGTATCCCGGAGGGTCCGAGGCCGAGATCCCCGCAGACGCCGGCCCGCGCTCCGCACGGACCGCCGGGACTCGGGGGCGCCGACGTCCACCTGGTCCAGGGTCGGCGGGGCGGACTTTGGGGCAGCTGAGCGGACGCTGCTGCCCACCCGATCAGCGCGGGGACCGGCGGGCACCCCTCCCTGGGCGCTGGGGACGGCCGCGAAGCTCTCAGGGCCCTCGGGTTTCCTCCGCTGCGGGGCGGGGGTCGATGCGCAGGGGCTGCGGGGGCAGCGCAGGGCCCAGGCGGGCAGAGCTGAGTAGGGACACCAACGCGGTGTGTGCCCCCCCCCCCCCCGCCCCGCAGGAGCTCTCCAGGGTCGGGGAGCGAGGGGCGCAGCTGCGGAGTGCTGGGCTCTGGGAGGGGCCGGCTCCCGGGGGACAGCGGATGAGCCTTTACTGGCTGTGGACGGGAAGGAAACAGCGCCGTGGTCCTGTGGTGCCCGTGTCCTAAGGGAAGTTGGAAGCCGTGACCACCGCCGAGAGCCAGCAGGCCGCGGCCAGATGGAAGCCGTGCCATCCCGGCCGGCGTGCAGCGCGGCTCCCCATGGCTCCTCCCCCCTCCTCCTGGTCTCCGGAAGGCCGTGGGTGTCTCAAGTCCGGACTAAGATGCAGTTGTCCTAGCGCTGACCTGAGCTGGACAGCCGGGACCTGGTCCTGCCCATCAGCAAGGTCCAGCTGGTCCTGGGAAGCCCCGCCCCATGCTGCTGCCTGCTGTGGGCTGGAGGGTGCCCCCAGCAGGGCAGTGGAAGAGGAGCCTCTTCGCCAGGCCATGGAGCAGAGCCAAGCTCTGGAGCCCGCAGTGCCCGGGCACAGGCACCACGGCCGCAGTCAGGCCTTGGAAGCACCAGAGCCCTCACCGGGCTGAGCTGGGGTGCCAGCAGTTGGCAGGGCTGCCGGAGGAGGCGGCCAGGAGGGAGGAAGGCAGCCCACCCCCCACCCCCACCCCGGCCCGGTCTCTGTGCCTGACCTCCAAGGAGCCCCACGAGCCCTCACGCTTCTGCGGGCCTGGGCCTACGTGGCCCGTTTTCCCGCCCCTTGGTCCCAAACTGCCAGCACCATCCCCACCCCCACCCGCAGGGTCGCTCGCCCACACTCCCTGCCTGGGCGCTTGATGGCCTCACTCACAGGCCTCGCCCTGGCGCCGACAGCTGCCGGCTGATGCTCACCCAGGCCTGCAGCATGCCCTGGCTCCGCCAAAGCAGGTGCTTCTGCAAGGAGGCAAAGGTGCCCGGTCAGGTGGAGGCCTCGCAGGCCGCAGCCGTGAGTCAGAGGCCATGGGACGCCATGGAGGCGACGGGCCCTGATGTCCGGCCCAGGCCGGCTTGGGCAGGTCTCATGCTGGGCAGCTGTGGGGTGGGTACAGGAGGAGGCCCCAGAGAGCGAGGGCCTCTTGGGGCCGTCTGCCCCCTGTCGCAGGCGTTACCATGTGGTGGCACACGGCACGGGTGCAGGGGAGTGGGGGTGAGCGTGCAGGGAGTCCAGGCTTGCAGGGGGCCAGCCTCCAGCTCTCTGGTGGAGATCTGTGAGGCAGGGGCTCGGGGAGTGTAGCCGCGGGCCTGCCGCGAGTCACAGGCCTCCAGGAAGCTTCTGTTTTGTTCTCTTACAACCCGGAAGGGACAGGTGGATCTGCAAGACCGGTTGTGTCCTGTCTGACCACCTTGCAGAGCCTGGTCTGGGCTCTCTCCCTGCCTAGCGGGTCACCAGGAAGACGACAGGCCCATGAGGAAACAGCTCGAGCTCGGGGCTATCTGTTCCGGAAGAGACCTCAGCTGGGGACCGCTGGAGGTGGTGCAGAGCTGGCCAAGGGCCTGGACGCCAGGGCCAGACTGCTGGGGTGCTGCTCTGCCACCGGGTAAGAGCGCCTGGCCTCCCCTGTAGGGAGGAATCATGGCTCTGCCTACACATAGGCTGTGGTGCAGCCTGAGTCAATATACGCAAAATACTTGGGATAGCACTATAAGGATCCTGAGTCAGCTGCCATTACCACCCCCACCACCTGCCATGACTGCCGTGACCACCATCACCACCATCACCACCTCATCACCACCTCATCACCATCACCACCACCCCCACCACCTGCCATGACTGCCGTGATCACCACCACCACCACCACCATCACCACCACCACCACCACCATCACCACCTCATCACCACCACCACCACCACCACCTGCCATGACTGCCGTGACCACCACCACCATCACCACCACCACCACCATCACCACCTCATCACCACCTCATCACCATCACCACCACCACCACCTGCCATGACTGCCGTGACCACCATCACCACCACCATCACCACCGTCACCTCCACCACCTGCCATGACTACTGTGACCACCACGACCACCACCTTCTCATCGGTCACTTTTTTGCTGCTACAACAAAATACCTGAAACAACCCCACTTTCCGAGAACAAAGGTTTATTTAGTTCACAGTCCTGGAGGCTCCTGGTCCGGGCCCGGGCAGTCCCACAGAGGGAGACAGGGAGCACACGTCTGTCTACACCTAGTGGCCTCCCTAAAGCCACAGGGATTCAATCATGGGCTCCACCCAGCAGCGTGGCCACCTCCAACACCTGACTGCGTGGCGTGTCCAGAGGGTCAGGTGGGCCGCGGGCAGGGCGGCACCGGCCGTGCTCCCACCTGCTGCAGAGTGGAAACCTGGGGCCGGCCTCCCAGCCAGCACGACGCCCTGGGGCCACCCTGCAGCCCCTCCCGTCTTCAACCACAGGGTGCTGGAACCTGAGTCCCTGGGCATGGTGGCGATGGTGAGTGTCAGGCCGGCTCCCTACCTGCTCTCCTAGCCTGGAAGGGAGCCAGGATGACAGCTGAGTGCTGGGGTCCGGTGCTCCCCGGCTGCAGGCTATGCAGGCCACTGGCAGCTCTCCTCCGCCATGAGTGTGCACCTGGGAGCACGCAGGCCTGTAACACAGGCCCGCCAGGCCCGAGCCCAGGGAGGCCTTACTTCTGCACCTGTGACTCCGGCTGACAGCACCAGGGGACGGCACAAGTGCCGGTGTCGGCCCAGCTACGGGAGGGGAGGCCAGGAGCGTCCCGAGCCACAGGCCCTGCCCTGGGTCCCTGTGGGCAGAGCATCTGTGGCCAGCGTGTGGGTCCACCCAGGGTCCCTGGGCCCCATCGCCACCCTACGTCCCCAGGGCCCTGCCCAGGCCCCCGCTGTGGATCTTCCTGGTACTGGGAGGGAGCTGCGGGGGCTCTGAGCAGCCCTGGGTGGTTCTGGGCGCGGCGCTCATCCTCGCAGTGCTGGTGCCGGGCGTGGCTGGTGCCGGGCTCGGAGGAGCCCAAGAACAGGGCGCCTGCCAGGCCTCCCTGCTGAGGCAGAGCACGCCCCTTCTGCTGAGCAGTTTTGTCTGCCTGACGTCGCCTGGGAGTGTGCCTGAGGCGCTGGCTGGCCGGCTCGGCGGCCCAGCGGTGCCCCGTGGTGCTGGGCAGCTCTGCCCGCTCACACCACGGCCGGCCTGGAGGCGCCACCTGCAGGGGAACTTGGGTTGCGAGGCTGGCGGCTCCCACAGGCAGGTCCAGTCTGCTCTGGCCTCCTGGCTGTCCTGGAGGAACGGCCTCCGGCTGCTGCCCGCAGGCTGGCCCTGCCGTCGCGCAGGCTGTGCCCTGGGGCCCTGCTCCCCCCCCCCCCCCACTTCCCAAGGCAGCTGGCTGCTGCTAAGGCAGGAGGAAGACAACACGAGGGGGCCAGCCCGGCCCAGGTGGGCGTCTCCACGGCAGGAATTACCCAGGTGGCCACCCTGAGCAGGGCCTCTGGGGCCAGCAGAGCCAGGCAGGGGTGCTGAGGGCCAAGGAAGAGCTGGCGGTCAGAGGGGCAGGGCGTGAGGTCCCGCTTTGGTGGTCGTGGAGAGCGAGTGTGGAAGCCTGCAGAAGGCGACAGGCAGGCACCCGTGCCCCGTGCCGCGCCGCACCCGCTGCCACCTTGCTGGGAGCCGCACTGGCCCGAGCCTCCTAGGAGACGCGGTCTCTCCTGCGCCTGCTCAGCAGCGGCCTCTCCACAAAGCTGCCTGCGCCGCGGGCTTTGATTCCACGTCCAAGTCGGCCTGGTGGGGCCCAGGCCCTTTAGCCGGCAGGGGGTGCGCGCCGCACTTCAGGTTACCGTAAGAAACATGAATGAGATAGGCAACGAGTCCCTGCCGGAGCCCAGCAGGTGAACGTCCGACGACAAACAGGAAGTCCACGAGGTCAGGGACACGGCAGCCCCGAGAGGCTGAGCCCCCGGCCACCCCCGCCAGGAAGGGGACAGGGTCCCGGGAGCAGAGCTCCGGGGGCAGCGACGCACCTGCGAGCCGCAGGGGTGCGAAGGCCCTCGCAGCCTCCACCAGAGCGCAGGACGCCGCGCTGCCCTTTGGAGACAAAATTCTTCCCTTGGAAGCCAAAGGTGCAACTGTAACAATGAAAGTTGAATTTTTTTTTAA